TCGAGAGTTTAAGATCGGGACAGAGCTGATGAAGCAGACTGAGGAGGAGATCACTCGTGAAGGAGGTTCACAGTTCAGTTTCGGGGGATATGAGGTCAGTGTCCCAGAGTCCTGTCACCATTCTTCATCATGTACTCCTCCCCACCAAACTGATCCCAGAAGGGGGGGCAGGGAGAGGGATGTAGTTCCTTTCTGTTATGCCTCATCCACACTGCAGAAGACAGTCAGATGGGTTGATTGATTGATTGAGTGATTGATTGATTGATTGGTTTTTAGCCTTTTTTCCCTGTTTCGAATCCCTTTCTCACTGGACTGCCTTAGAAACTGTTTGATGTTCTAGCTCCCCCTCTTGGTCAGAAACGGTATCTCAGTTTCTCCACACCAAATGTGTATGCACTGATCCCACAGAAATCCATACGGCTTCTCTTTCGAGCCAGTCCTCGGCTAGATTCTCCTTTCATGTATTGATTTGTTTTCATACCATACTTGAATGTCTGCCAAACGGTATTCAATGCACTTGGGCTGTTGTTTTTCTGGGAAACCTTGCAGTAGCCACAGTCAAAAAGCAACTGAATTTAATCAAAAACACAATCTTTTTGTTTCTCAGCACGAGTCAGAGAATGTATATTTAAAATTCTCCAGTGTGAGAGAGCTGCAGTCTGCCTCTGTGTAAGGACTCTGATATGTTATTTTTAATATCTTTTTCTTCTCTTTTTGCTTTGCTCAGTTTTTCTATGATAAAGCACAGACGGTCGACGTGCTGTTCCATGTGAAGGACGTGGACACAGATAAGAAGATAGACAGCACTCTGAACGGTGTGTATGCAATGCCGTGATGCAGGATGGCGGTAAACTTCATCACCTCAGTCAGAGGAGTGTTGAGTGCAGTAATATCCTCAGGGTTTTACCTAATGAGCCAGAGAGTACCCCTGCTTTGATAGTGACCTCAGAGAGAGCTAGAGGGGGATGGGTCTCAGAGAGGGAGAGAGGGCTGAATCTCTTAGGGAGGGAGGGCTGAATCTCTTAGGGAGAGAGGGCTGAATCTCTTAGGGAGAGAGGGCTGAATCTCTTAGGGAGAGAGGGCTGAATCTCAGAGAGGGAGATAGGGCTGGGTCTCAGAGAGGGAGAGAGGGATGGGTGTCAGAGAGGGAGGGGGGATGGGCCTGAGAGAGGGAGCAGGAGGGGTTTGATTGGAGCATCCTGTCCTCCTCCCTCAGTGACGCTGTATAACTGCTCCCTGGGCCGGGAGGACTGCAGCCTGTGCAAGAATGCGGACCCTCAGTACAGCTGCGTGTGGTGCTCCACCACCAGCTCCTGCGTCTACAGGGAGCTGTGCCTCGGCAACGAGATGCAGCACTGTCCCGCCCCCAAGATCACCGACGTGAGTCTCCCTCTGCGTGCGTGTCTGTCTGTGTCTGTGTGCATTACTGTGTATATGTACATACATGCTTTGGAGCAGAAGTCCTTATGAGGGGCAAGACAAGAACCAGTGAGGCAACGAAGGTTTGGGATCACAGCTTGACTGGACAGAAATGAGACGTCATTTATATACTTTCTCTAGTGTGTATGTGTATCCTTAATTTATAGAATGAATTATGGGCTGGTAGCATCATACATGTTTAATGTTAAAGCAGACTCACTCCAGTGGACATTTCTTACTTATCTCACTCTCCTGTTGCCACGTTGTGCCCTGGCTCCTACAGATGTCTTACAGCAGACAGCCTGCTCACGTCTGGCTTTGACTCTCTTTCCTCAGATCGTCCCTCGCTATGGACCTCTGAAAGGGGGAATTTCAGTCACCATCAAAGGGTCCAACCTGGGCATCAAGAAGGAGGACATTAAGAGCATCAGTGTGGCGGGGGTTCCCTGCGTCCACCAGCAGGACAGATACTCCGTCTCCACCAGGTACAGCACCGTCACCTGTACCTGCAGAGTCGGGTTTACTCTGTACCCTGGGTATAGTACTGTAAGGTTTGCTCTGTACCCTGGGTATAGTACTGTAAGGTTTGCTCTGTACCCTGGGTATAGTACTGTAAGGTTTACTCTGTACCCTGGGTGTATAGTACTGTAAGGTTTACTCTGTACCCTGGGTGTATAGTACTGTAAGGTTTGCTCTGTACCCTGGGTGTATAGTACTGTAAGGTTTGCTCTGTACCCTGGGTATAGTACTGTAAGGTTTGCTCTGTACCCTGAGTATAGCACAGTAAAGATGACCCTCTACACTAAGTATAGCCTAGGTAAGTTCACTCTCTACCCTGGGTATAGCAGAGTTTGCTTACTGTATGCTGTGGGTTTAGTTGACATGTCTTTGACACAGCAGCATTGGAAGTTTACATTCATTGGACACTTTGCATCCTTCCCTCCTGGAGGGCCAGTGCGCGTGGTCATGGATGGCGTCTCACAGACGGACAGCAGCCGTTTGGGTCGTTAGTGCAGCAGTGTGGTCATGACCCTGCTTATAACCCACGCTTCTCTGCCTGTTCCAGCGTGGTGTGTGAGGTCGGCCCTGTTGGTGCTGACAGTCCCCACAAGGGCGTGGTGGAGGTGGAGGTGGAGGGAGACAAAAGGGGGACCTCCCAGGTCCTCTTCACATTCAGGGTAAAGTGAATTTACCCCCCTTCATTCTCCAAATACATCACCCTGCCCTGCTCTTCCTCTCAGAGCTGTAACCCATTTCATTTCCAGCTGGTCCCTGAAGTGCTCTTAACAATAGTGATGTCTGAATGACTTTAATTGTCTTTTTTCATTTTCTAAATGCCAGACATTAACAGAGGCAGAAAAAATTTCAGCGCAGCCCAGAGTTACAAGATTAATTCTCTGCTGAGACCTGCCTCGAAATGTTTATGAATGTAACCATTTTTTGTTGAATAGCTTTTATTGCCCTTGAAAGCTTTTATAGATTTTTTTTCATTACTGTGGATGCTTTAGTCAGACATTATTGTTAGACGTATAATGTTTACTCAAATAAAACTGAAGTAAAAGACTGAGTGGTTCATGAAACCAATAAATTGAAATTTTTTTCCCTCCGTTTCCCTCAGGATCCCTATGCTGAAGCAGTCCAGCCTGACAAAGGGCCCAAAGCGGGAGGGACAGTGATCACAATATCCGGCACCGATCTGGACACAGCCACTGAGGAGGACCTGAGCATCACAGTGGGAAGAGTGGCCTGCTCTGTGTGAGTGCAGCACCAGGCCCCCGGGGAGGTTTCTCTACACCGGGAACGTTGTGTCATGTCTGTATTTGGCTGTATGTGAGTTGGATTTGTCTGCAAACAGTGTGGTTTAGTGGTTAGGAGCAGGACTCATAAACAAAAGGTATGCTCTTGTACCCTTAGGCAAGGTACTTAACCCACAATTGCCTAAGTAAAAATCCAGCTGTATTAATGGATAACATTGTAATTTGCTCTGGATTACAGCGTCTGCTAAATGACAACATAATGTAATGTAGTTGAGTGTGGCTGTATGGAGATATAGAAGTAGAGTTTGCCTGTATGCACATATAGAGTATATAGAGTTTGGGTGAATGGGGATATGGGACCCACTGAGGTAAGCTGAGTTGGATGGGCTGAACCGGGATTGGTTGGCTGTAAGACTTGGTGCACTGTATCCTGCTGGGAACTCGCTGACTAACTATCTTTTTCTCACCCTCAGGGAGACATTTGGCAGCGAGATCACCTGCAAAACAGGTGAATACAAGGACCAAAAGGTCCCCTCGGACCCGCTGACCGTCACAGTGAGGTATGGGAAGCACGCCAGCACAGAGGTGTCCAAGGCCTTCCAGTTCTACGACAACCCCAAGGTGGACAGGCACCACCCCCAGGGCAGTTTCGTGTGGTAAGTCCTTCACGCACGTCCCCCCGGCAGCTCTTTTAACTTACTGAGGACTAGGTTTCATCAAGAACAGCGGTGCAAAAGTGTACTTTGCTACAACCAAGGAGGTTTATAGTAGAAGGGAGGCAGTGCAGTCCAAACCCATCCACCAACGTTTCCCTCACCCTTCACTATACAAATGTGTGTGAACTGCTCCCTCGCAACAGAGGAAAGAGGGAGTCTGAGGACATCTCTGGAGGTCCCGCAGTGTCATTGAGGGGGGCCCTCAGGAGTAGTGAGGAGTATTTTGAAATTTGTGCTTCAACGGTTGCACCCAAAACTTGTGGAGGACTTACCACACCCTGGAAACATTAGAGGTGGTGAGACAAGGCAGGCAGTAAAACCTAATTACTGTATGTATGTAGTCTTTAAACGGGATGAGGACACCCTGCAGCTGAGGACAACCTGGTGCAGCAGAGACAGTGTCTCAGACGCCCTCTGAAATGTGAGAGTGACCGTGGTGTTCTGCTGCTTTCAGTGGGGGGAGGAACATCGTGGTGACTGGGGCCGGGTTCGACCTCATCCAGAGGGCCACCATGAGGGTCAGGCTTTCCACCCAAGAGTCCAATGACCCCAATCCAATCGAGGTGAGCGTCCATGTTCAACCCAAAAATGTGTCTCCTCCTCCCTGTTAAAACACCTAAATCTTTCCTTTTCTGGTGTATAACATTAAGGTATTTTTACACTTGTTGATTTTTCTTTACTGTAGCACTTCTGTGTTCAGCATCGTGTTGGTTATTATGAAACTGAGTGACAGATTGACACATTCAGACATGTTCTGTCGGTTTCTGAATGTACTGTGCTGTTCATGTGGCCATATTCCAAATGACTAAATGTAAACGTGTGTTCTCTCTGCACTTGGCATTTCCATCGCAGTTCCATCGTTCTGTTGAATCAGGCGGTGAGGAGATATTAAACGTGTGCGATCCTCACAACCTGACTGCAATCCGTCAGCCGATGGCGTGAAATCGTGCTGTCATCTCTGCCCGGTGTGACGGAGGTGTTGCTTGCAGTCGGTTGCATCAGGCAGTGAGTCCCTTAGCCTGCCGTGGCTAGCACCTTACCGGGCACGTCGCTAAAGAGGCCGAAGCCTCCGCGCGGTCTGTGACTCGCAGTGCTCTCGCCCACGCTGGACCAGTTAGCTCAGTTGGTTAGAGCGTAGTGCTACTAATGCCAAGGTTGTGGATTTGATCCCCATACGGGCCATATCTTTTGGGGCAGCAGTGTAGCATAGCGGTAAGGAGCAGGGCTAGTAACCGAAAGATTGCTGGTTCAGTTCCCTGCTGGGGCACTGCTGTTGTACCATTGGGCAAGGTACTTAAAACTGAATTGCCTTAGTGAATATCCAGCTGTATACATGGGTAACATGTAAAAACTGTGACCTGTGCAAGTCACTCTGGATAAGAGCGTCTGCAGAATGACAGTAATGTAATGCAATATTGCAGTTTGTGCAGGAGGCCCTGAGCAAAAACGACACGGTGCTGCAGTTCCTCTCTCCGGCTGTGAACAAGACCTTCCTCAGCCAGGGCCTCCGAACCTTCGTCTTCCTGGACAACGTTCAGGCGGAGCTCGACCCCTTCGATTACCACCCCGACCCCATTTTCGACGAGCTCACCAAGAAGGTCATCACAGAGGCCAGCATCATCATCGTCACTGTGAGTACGACGCCCTACGCCGTCAGAAGTGACCTCTCAATACTCCTGCACACCCCTGCATCATTCCTGTTACGGGAAAAGGGAAACCTAATCAAACGTGACTGATAACAAGCCAGTAGAACATTATGTAGATCATCAGGATCCTTCTAAAGCACTTGGCATATTGTGTATGGAACACAGTCTGTCAGGGATGGAGATTCAGTGAGCTGTCCGTCAGGTGATGCTGTGTCCATGACAACGGGCAAACTGCTCTGCTCTGCTCTTTCTACCTCAGGGCCAGGGCTTCGCCAAGGCGATGACCGCCAAGGAGGCGGAGGCTTTTGTGGGGGACGCCAAGTGTGTGGTCAGCACCCTGCAGGACGATCGGCTCTACCTGGACCCCCCTTCCACACAGCCCAAAGCTCGCTCCAAGCGGCACCGGAGGGACACCAGCTCCGACCCGCTGGACCTCATGGTGAGACACTGGTCCATGTAGAGGAGCCTGCAGTCTGGAAGGCTTTCAGAGGGTCCACTGCATCAGTCTAGCGTGTTATATAGTTACTGTGTATATAGGGGGTAGCACTGTAGCATATAAGTAAGGGGCAGGGCTCATAACCGAAAGGTTGCTGGTTCATTTCCCTGCTGCTGCTGTACCCTTAGGCAAGGTGCTTAACCCAGAATTGCCTCAGTAAATATCCAGCTGTATAAATGAATAACAATAAATTGTAATCTATGTAAGTTGCCCTGGATAAGGGCATCTACTAAATGACAATAATGTAATGTATATTTGATCTGTGGTGATTCAACAAGGGTTTTCTCTCAAGCTTTATGTCTTATATCTCTCTATATCTCTGTCAGATTAAGTTTGGGAACGGAGAGTGGGTGGTGGGCTCAGTGCACTACGAGAGGAAGTACGAGGTCCCCCTGCCCATAATTATCCCAGCAGTAGTTTTCCCCATGCTGCTGATCATCGCCATCTCAGTCTACTGCTACAGGTAACGGACTCCATTTCCCATCATGCTTCTCTCCAGCAGGGTCCTGAGTAGTGATACTCATTTGCCTGTGGGAATTCCGTGCACTGAGGGTCCGTGTGAATGTGTGTTGTCCTTGTGCAGGAGGAAGAGCCAGCAGGCCGAGAGGGAGTACGAGAAGGTGAAGCACCAGCTGGAGAACCTGGAGGAGAGTGTTCGCGACCGCTGCAAGAAGGAGTTCACAGGTCTGCCTTCCCATTCAACACCACTCCATACAGGCTTAGCATAGTGCTTAGCTAGCACTGCTAATGCCTTTAAAAGGGCTGTTAACAATTCTAGTGGTCATAATCATTTGTTAAATGACTGTCATCCTTCCATCGTTTAGTAAAGGCCACTCAGAAATATAAGGTGCAGCCAATCGAGATGATGATGAAAGGTGGTTGATGACTCAGACGGTGACCTTTGCCCTTTCAGATCTGATGATTGAGATGGAGGACCACACCAGTGACCTCAGTGAGGCGCGCATTCCCTTCCTCGACTACAAGACCTACACCGACCGGGTCTTCTTCCTGCCCTCCAAGGACGGCGCCAATGACGTGATGATCACGGGCAAGCTGGACATCCCAGAATCCCGCAGGGCTATTGTGGCACAGGCCCTCAACCAGTTCTCCAACCTGCTCAACAGCAAGACCTTCCTCATCAACGTGGGTCCCACTGCTGCCTGCCTGTCTGCCTGCCTGCCTGCCTGTCTGTCTGTCTGCCTGCCTGTCTCCCTGCCTGTCTGTCTGCCTGCCTATTTATTACCGCTCCCTCTGCACGGTAATTGTGGTAATTTGCGGTAATTCTGTAGTCTGCCTGTCAAGCTTATGGTGCCTTTATTCTGCTACCTCTGTTGTTGGACGTGTTTTCACAGCCGTAAGGTATCCATTATACATCTGTGGGAGTAAAAGGAGTTTGTACACATGGCTTAAAATTGCACTGCATACTAATGAGGAAACGCTTCGGTTTTGCCATTTTTCTGTAAAAGCTATTTTTCGCCATGAACACTGGACACATTGTGTGCTTGTTGGAATGACCACCTGACTGACGCTTCCTGTCTGTGTGGGTAGTTTATCCGAACACTGGAGGGACGCCCCGACTTCAACGCCCGAGCGAGGGGTTATTTCGCCTCCCTCCTGACGGTGGCGCTGCACGGGAAGCTGGAGTATTACACGGACATCATGCGGACCCTGCTGCTGGAGCTGATGGAGCAGTACGTCCACAGCAAGAACCCCAAACTCATGCTGCGAAGGTGAGTCCCGCGAGAACCTGTCCGCATCACCGCACACCTCTGCTCTGATTGGTGTTTGTTGTGAAAACTTCACCCCTGATAGGCTGTCCTTGTGTTTCCCCCACCCCACACCTCCAGGTCAGAGACAGTGGTGGAGAGGATGCTCTGCAATTGGATGTCGATTTGTCTCTACCAGTTCCTGAAGGTAACACCAGCAGTGGCTTCTGGCTGGACTTGCTTCCATGCTGTTGCTGTGGAGTACTCCTTAATCTGACGGCTCTTTGTAGTGCATTTAATTTCCTCCTCATCCTTGTAGGATGCATAGGCATCACTTCATAATAGTACATATACAAATAAATATTATAATCATAGCACCTTTAATATAATGAAGTTGCCATGGCAAATGACTTCTCAGCATAGGTCTAACAGGCTTTTAAAATAGATATATCAGAGAACCATAATAACAGGTATAATATATGAAAAACCAGTAAATAAACCAATAAATGTCTAAAATAAAAATAAATATTGGAAGTCTACTGGGTAGCAGCTTATTGATTTTGAAACAAGTATTTTTTCTAGAGTTTATCTAATAATAAACTTTGGACATGGATATCAGTATGATGCGGGGTCAGTGCATGAAGGCTGTTCTGTCTTGACATGACTGTGCTATCGTGATATGGGTGTGTGTCACTGAGCGAGCCTGTTGTGCTATCGTGATATGACTGTGCTGTCATGACATGACTGTGCTGTCATGACATGACTGTGCTGTCGTGACATGACTGCAGTTGTGGCTGTGCTGTCGCGATATGGCAGTGTCAGTGAGTTAGCCTGCTGACTCGGGCTGTGCTGTTGGTGCAGGACTCTGCCGGGGAGCCTCTGTACAAACTCTTCAAGGCCATCAAGCACCAGGTGGAGAAGGGTCCGGTGGACGCGGTGGTGAAGAAGGCCAAGTACACGCTGAACGACACGGGCCTGCTGGGAGACGACGTGGAGTACAGCGTGCTGGTGAGTCACGGCACAGCCGACCCACAATGCACCAGCACCGTCATGCAGTGATGGATGGTCATTTCACACACACTCAGGACACTAGCGGGCAGTAATTTGGTACCTGCGCACTCAGTGCAACGTCTCCCTGCCCCTCATTGTACCTGTTAATTTCTCTCCATCTTTCCTCATTCTCTGCAAATTAATAGCATGCATATGTGCCACAGAAAGGAGGGCTTTGGGAAGCTGAATGATGATAAACGTATAATTTTCTCTGATTTGACAGCTTATGTTATTACCTCTGGAAAAGTTAGAAAATTCAGTAAAAATATAATAACATGGCTTATGCATAATGTATTCGTCGTGGTACAATAACGATGCAGGCTTGACGCATGGATCATTTAGTAGAGTTGCATGCAGTAATTAAATGTTGTCATAATAGCATATCATCTGGATGACAAATTGGTTTCAGATTCAATAATGTATGTTTATGCAGGCATACGGAGACATGCCCCGCCACCAGGGGGCAGTTCATTTATTTAGAAGTGGTAAATGTAATTTGTGTGATGGATGTCTGCGTCTAGCGTAACAGCTTGTGCAACGCAACAGCCAAACGCAGAATTTCATGGTTACAGTGTTACTGCATCGTTTGGGTGAGCTCAGCTGTGGGAGAAATGCTGCTCTGAGCCTCACAGCAGGAAAAATCTTAAATCATCCATGTTGCATGTAGTCATATACACACATTTAAAACATATGACAATATGTTAGGTCTCATTTTCATGTGGAGTGGGTCACAGTAAATGTAATTATTCATTAATTAGGTTCTGAGTTTAGGACATTCAGGAACCATTGGTTTAAATAATATGGAGACTGACAGCCAGTGATAAAGCCAGCCTGATCCTGGGAATAAGTAGATGGAATTTGCATTGGGGGAAACAGGTGGGCAACAGGTGGTTTTGGAGCTGCAGGTAACAGGTGGCGTTCTGCTCTCAGACCGTGCAGGTGCTGGTTCACGGGGAAGGTCCGGACGTGACCCCAGTGAAGGTGCTCAACTGCGACACCATCTCCCAGGTGAAGGAGAAGATCATCGAGCAGGTGTACCGGAACCACCCGTACTCACAGAGGCCCAAGGTGGACAGTGTCACTCTAGGTGAGGGGACGTCACATCACAGCATGGGTCCAGCAATGGAGCACCGTTTCCTGGAAAATAATGTCTGTTAAAGACAGTGGGCGTGTTTGGGAGGTTATAGTTTGAAATGTGCACAGGTGTGACACTTTTGTTTGTGGTGCAATTTCTGCCCCCTCCACAGAGTGGCGCCCTGGCTCCACGGGGCAGATCCTGTCTGA